ATGGCATGACATTATAACAATACACTGCATTATCAGTTATGAACGTTGTTTTTTCTTGATCTTCCTTCCATAACGGTATCTGATTATACCCGGAATATGCATCCATAAATGACAACACTTTGTACCCAGAGGCTCTGTCTACTAAATGATCAATACTTGGTAAAGGAAATGGGTCTTTAGGACAAACTTTATTCAAGTCTGTATAATCTGTACACATTCTCCACTTCCCATCCGGCCTCCTTATCAGCACCGGGTTGGCTAGCCACGTAGCATATTCTATTTCTCTAATAAACCCTGCTTCCAAAAGCTCTTGTGTCTTTTCTTCAATGGCCCTCCTCCTTTCTAAACAAAATCTTTGTTTCTTCTGCACTACCGGCTTTACTCCTGGGGTCATTGCCAAGCGATGACAAGACAATGCCGGATCCATACCGGGCATATCTGAAGGTTTCCATGCAAACAAATCAGCATTCTTTTTCAACAAATGCTTCAAACTCTCTGCCACATCGGGCTCCAACTCGGACCCCATCTTAGTACACTGCTGTGGAGATATCCCTAATTGAACTTCTTCCATTGCACCGGCGGGTTCCGGCCTATCCGCCTTGTCCTCCTCCCGAGGGTCCATCTCCACCACCATTACTTGTTCTTCTTTCTTTCCTTCTTCTTCTCTTTGTACATTTCCTTCTTTGGCTTGTTGTGGAGGTTCCACAATATTTTTCTCCTTACCTGCTTGTGGAACTCGTAGACTCATATTATAACAACTCCGAGAAACCACTTGGTCTGCCTTTATCGTAGCTACTGACTCATCTTTGGCCACAAATTTCATAGCCAACTGATCAATCGACAAGAAGATTTTAAACTTCTTCATAAATGGCCGCCCCAAGATAACATTGTACGCCGAGCTCAATTTTACTGCTGCAAACATCAAAGTGACCGTTTTGTGCGCGGGCGCCTTGCCTAACGTCATCCTCAATGGGATATATCCCAATGGCTTAATTTTATCTCTCGTGAAAGCTAATAACTCGGCTCCACATGGCTCCAACTGGTCATAATCCAAATCCATTCTTCTAAACGCATCCAAAAATATAATGTCCACCGAGCTCCCCGGGTCTAACAACATTCTATCAACCCCGAAAGCTTGCTAGCAGCCCAGAAATGACTAAAGGATCGTCGTGCTCTGGATCAATTATCTCATCATCCAGGTCATCAAAAACTACTTGTTTGCCTGTCTTCCTTCTTTCTTCCTTAAAACGCGGCCTATATGAAATGGCCATGCACATCTTTAAATGCTTTTTCCGAGCATTACTCGACTCTCCTCCTCCTGCTCGCCCCCGACTATAGTACACACGTGACCCAACTGGACTTGATTGGGAGATGTTTGCTTTTGTTGTGAAATCTTGCCTGCCTCTTGTCCTCTTCCTCCTGGTGGGCTCCGACTACGGTATGGTCGTCGGGATTTGTCCTCATTGCTACCATCTACATCTCTTCTCACGTACTTCTGTAACTTTCCTTCTTTGATCAATTGTTCAATGACGTTCTGTAAATTAAAACAGTCGTTTGTATAATGCCTGTACCCATGATGAAATTCACACCATTTGGTTTTGTCTGGAAACTTTGACTGAATGGGTGGCGGCCTTGGGACATTTCTCATTTCTGCCAACATTACTTCTTTAAATATCTGGGCTCTTGACGTGTTCAAAGGCGTGAACTCCCCGATATGGCTCTCTGAATCTTTCTCCGACTAGACGAGGTTGTCGCTCTTCAAACTGCCCTCTTCCTGCTGGTCTCTGCGGCCTCCGACTTTGACTTGCTTCCCGAAAACCTTGCTCAATTTGCTTTTGAGAAGATTTAAATTCTTCCAAATCAATATACTTTCTGATTCTTTCTAGCAAATCTTCCTTTGTAGCCAGAGCCTTTTTGGCTAACGAGTTGGCAATTCCTCCGGGTTGTAATCCAGTAGTGAACAACAACAGGTACGTTTGATTTTCTAAACCCTTAACTTGTCTTGCTTCTGCCTGAAAACGTTCATAATAATCTCGCAACTTTTCTCCGGACTTTTGTCTTACTCCGCACAAATTTTGCGTTGTTTTAGGCTGGCGTCCGCAATCACGAACTGTTGTGTTAAGTCCACCCAACTTTCTATGGAGTTATCTGGTAAAGCCGTAAACCACTCCAAAGCCTGTTTTCTCAAAAACACAGGAAATGTTCGACACAACAATGAATCTGATTCGCCACACAAGGACATTGATGCCCGGAACACGGTCACGAACTCCTTTGGGTCTGAACTTCCATCATACGCCTTCATGTCACTTGGTTGCTTAAACCAAACCGGGATTGGTTCTGCTCTAAGCCTCCCCGACAAAGGAGTTCCTGATGGTCCCTGATTAATGGGGGGCGCCAGAATCCCTTGTTGAGCTCCTCCGAGTTGTCCATTCCAAACGGGTACATCCTGCTCCCTATTGGCCATTTGTCTATTGCCATAATGAGGACCCCAGCCTTCTGCCTTCCCTGGTCCGTAATGCTGATAATCCCAATTTGCTTGTCGCCTTCCATCTCCTTGACTTTGATCTCTACCCCAGTAATGGTACTCGGTATCGTCTCGTGGAACTTCACCTCTGCGATTGCTATAATTTCTTCCTCCTTCCGGCCTCCACCTTTGATAAGTTTCTTTATATCGACCTCTGTTTACCTCTCGTTCATCTCGCCGAGTATAACCTTGACGGGCTCCTAAATACTGTTCTTCCTCCCATGTCACCTCTTCTTCCACCTGTTCATCTTCACTATTTTGATATTTCCTAGCCCGGCCTGTTCTCCGGGCATAATCCTCAAGTATCCTTTCTCCTATCCGCGGATTTGCTCCTCGTCCTCCGCCTTGATAGCCTCCCCTTTCTGGAGAACCCCTTGACTCTTGACAAAGTTGTCATCTCCTCCCTTCATTCCTTCTATTTCCCCCCACTGTTGGAGGTGATAAAGGAATATAGTTAGGAAGAGGAGACAAAGAATCTCGTCCTCTGTTGGGTGATTGCTGCTCATTCTCTACAAGATGCCTTTCCTCTGCTCCACGTCTCCTTTGCCCTCCTTCTAGATGTTGCCTATTCCTGATATCCTCCACTAACTGAATCAAAACTTCTCCAATGGTGTCTAGAGACCGATTCCTTCCACTGGATCGGAAAGAATCTTCCTCTCCTAGGTATCCTCCGTCGTCTTCCGCTCCCACATCATGGTAATTGCTTGCCATGACTCAACAATATGCATAGGAATCTTTTTACCTTTTACCACAGACAGCGCCAAATGTTCTGTATGAACATTAGTATGATTATTGTCTATCCCCTCTGTTAGTTATGGTCTTTGGTATATATAACCCTTCCATATGTGGTTATTGTGAACGTGGGTAGTTATAGAAACCCATCATGTAATCGTGGTAGGGCCCACTTTGGGTTATAGTATTTTGGCCGACTTCCCTTCCGGGTAAAACCCCATCCGGGTTCTATCAACTCTTCTCCTTGACTATTATTGATACCCGGATGTATAAACCCGGAACAATTGTCGTTTAAGGTTTTAGACAAGGGTTGTGAAAATAATTGAATATATTTAATTTTAGGGAAATATAATTTTTCTAAGTTCGGGATAAAGATGTTGATGTTGATAATTATATTTGACTAAATTACCCTTTCACATAATTAATGTGTTTTAATTCCACTTACTCGAGATACAAAAAAAGAGGTAAGGATAAGATTGAAAAAAAATTAATGCCTTTTTTGTTTTCTAAAGTGACAGACAATTTGAAATGCAGGAAGTATATTGGATGCTTAATGGGGTTAGGGTAGTTAACATTAAGAACTTAATCTGTTACTTGTTTTTCATTGGTGTACTTAATTTTTCCACTTAGTTGAAACTGAATAATACAGTTTTTGTGCTTGTTTTATGTTATTGATCATTTCATCAACCAAATAATGTTGTACTTAATCTAATTACTATCATTATTGTTTTTCCTAATCCCACGTTACTTTGCAGAGGCTTTTGAGCAGAAGTATGATCCTAGTGTGTCTGCAGAAGCTAATGAAGGAGATGGATTTAGAGATTTAGTGCGGCATACCATGTTTGAAAAAGGTCAAAGTAAATGCATATGGGGTGAGCTCTACAAAGTGATAGATTCTTCTGATGTTGTTGTCCAGGTAGTGTCTCATCTTTTTGCTGAGATTTTGTTTAATTTTTCACATATGTCTATGTTGACTGATACTAACATGATGTGCATGTGTGTGTTTCCATTAGATATTATGATTTTGTATCTTAAGGTGAAAAAATGTGCATTATGGTGGGCATTTCTGCTTCAAATTTGCATGTTATCTATCTTGCTCTGTCAATTTAAACATTATTTTGATTTTTAATAAAGTTTGTCTTTGTCATGGGTAAAGTATAAAAGCTTGGTAGCTATAACGTATTCCACTTTTTTAAGCTGAGCTTGTCTTTGAGATCTGCAAATCCGGAAGTAGAAAGAGGCTTAGTGAAGGTGTCAGCAACCTGTAGGGAAGATGGAACATGCTGCACAATGAGGGACTTAGCCAGAACTTTTTCCCTGACAAAGAAGACATCTGGCTCCATATGTTTTGTTCGAGTGCAAAACTGGATTATGAGCAAGAGCAATTGTGCTCTGATTATCACATTAGATGACATGGACTTAAACTGGAATTTGGAGCTCTTGCAAAAGAGATTGCAACCACAAAATTTCAGCTGCAACATGGGCTAAGCTTCGATACTCAGTTTCAGCACTTGAATGTGCCACTAGGGATTGCTTCTTAGCCCACCAAGAGATGAGATTGGAGCCTAAGAACACACAAGCTCCAGAGGTTGATCTTCTATCATCCGGATCTGAATCCCAATCAGCATCACAAAAGGCCACAAGTGAGAGAGGGTGTTGTGATGAAGGTGGATGAAATACCAGACCATAGGATAAAGTGACATTGAGATACCTCAAAATGCGTTTAACAATTTTCCAATGTTCCTCAAGTGGCAAATTGACAGACTTTATTCACACTAAAGGAAATTTCAGGTCTTGTTAATGTAGCATATTGCAGTGCTCCAACAATGGACCTGTAAAGCGAGGGATCAGGTACATAGTTAGAGCCAAATTTGCTTAGCTTGCATCCACTAGGCATAGGAGTGGAAATTCCTTTAGCTTCTGCCATTCCAGCTTTGTAAAGAAGATCTCTAATATATTTTGATTGAGATAACAGTATCCTTCCATTGGAGAGATGTTTAACTTCGATCCTAAGAAAGTAGTCCAGATTTCCAAGCTGTTTTAAGGCAAATTTAGAATGCAATTGATCAATTAGAAGTTGTATTAAGTCAGAATTGTTTCTTGTGATGATAATATCATCCACATAAACTAGAATATAGGTGCAGCTGCCATTAGAGCGAAGAATAAAGAGAGAGGGGTCACATTTGCGAGAAATGAAACCAAGATGATGAAAGAGTATCTCCAAAATTTTCCAACCAGGCCTTAGGAGCCTGTTTTAATCCATAAAGAGCCTTGGTGAGCCTGCATACTAGGGTCTTGTCAGTGACTTCAAAACCTGGAGGTTGAGACATATATACTTCTTCCAAGAGATCTCCATTGAGGAAAGCATTATTAACATCAAGTTGTTTTAAAGGCCATCCATGAAACAAAGCCAAGGTGAAGATAGTGCGAATAGTAATAGGCTTTACTACTGGGGAAAATGTTTCATTATGGATGAGGGAGTAAAACTGGTGTTAGGAGATTTATCAGCAGTAGCAGAAG